ACCCTCTGTTCTCCCCCACTTTGCCTATGGGGGTGTGTCAAACATATGTTTATATGTTATAGTTTAGGTAGGCTTTAGTGGGGTACTCACTGTGGGGTACAACCCCTTAGGTTTTATTTTGTACCAACCCTCTCGATAGTCAACACCACTTTTCCCTTTTACTCTCGACAATAATTTGTGCAAAACGGCTTGGCAAGACTTAGATACAAATAGCACGCAACACAGACATTTTGCAGTGCAAGACCCACTAGCTCCTATGGCAGAGCCACGTGCTGTGTCGTTTCTACTGCGACTGCTGGTTGCCTAGATAGTATTCCACTACACCATATTCATGGACACTACCGCGAGGTCCGTAGGAAGCTTGCTCGAAGCCATGTATTCGAAGACAGCCCGTCGCCTACGAGGTCGGAAGGCTCCAACAGGACCGCAGAGCGGAAGAGACGCCCACGTCTGCGCGCTCGTTGATTCCAATTGTGGATTAAAAACCTACAAGGCATGCGTGACAGCAAGTTCATATACATCTTCCGGATAAACCGGGCAATACTCGAATACATCACTGCTGGAATGCACTACTACGTGCACCCCTACGTCGAGAGGAGCCACATTACACATGAGGTGGCGGTTCTGGTGGCCATCAAATACCTCGCATGCGGAATGGGTGCACTTCCCGACCCGCAAGGAGCTTGACGAAATGTCCGAAGAGTTCCGCGCTGTAAAGGGAGTACCTGCTGTAGTGGGAGCTATTGATGGGAAACACATACACATGAAGGGGACGGAAGGTCATCGCGTGAAGTACTATACGCGCAAGTCTTGTTATGCCGTCCAACTGCAGTTGATATGTGATGCCCGCGACATCATATGGGACTACCTTATTGGCTACCCAGGGAGTGCACACGATCAACGTGTATTCATGAACAGTGCGTTACACGAAAGGTTGCAAAACGGTGACATAGCGCCATATCAACTCGTCGGAGACTCTGCCTACCCACTCAGAGATTTCTGCCTGAATCCACTACGTGCACCACGGAAGGGCCTAAAGGAAGACGCCGAGAAGCTTCAACTACTGCCAGATGGCGACTATTCGCGGGCGGAACGACTGCAAGCTATGGCTCATGCTTGTAGGGGCGTCTTGTTGCGTCATCCTGCATAACATGTGCGAAACAATGGGAGAAATGAGACGCATTAACAGTGCATGGGCCAACCTGCCTAAAAAAAGGGACCCTTGGTGGACACGAGGCACAATAGCGGACTTTTAGTGGGAGCCGTGTGTCCCGTGCACTCAAGCAACATTGCGGGAACGGCATAAACGACTTGGTGAAGCTCTTGAGCAGTCTTACCTTACTCGTCGACGCTGCGAACCCATACCTCCTCTTCGCCCGCATCTTGGTTGACGATACCATCTCCAAGCTGCATGCGACAGCACAATCCGTCATCGACCTCTTCGACCCCATTCGTCGTGGGCTGGGTCGGCGCCGCGCCGGGCACGTCATTGCGTGCTGGTGGAGGCGGAGCGGTCTGCTGCATGCGTTCGCGAGCAAGGCGCTCATCCTGCTGCATTCAGCTGCGGTCGAGGCCCTCAAGCTTCGCCATGGCATACACGTGGCATCCCTTGATGGCCTCACTTATGATCTTCGCGGCAGCCATGGTCGCTGTCTCTGCAACGCGAGGACGCTTGGAGGTAGGGGTAGTCTGCGGAGGGGGGGCTGGGGATACATACAAGCACAGGGGATGACATGTTATGTGCCTAGTGCATGTGCTGATTTATTGTGAACATTAAAGAGTCGAATGGTTGCCATGTTATAAAAAATACAGAGTAAAAACTATACGCGTGGAACGAAACATGCCATACCCGTGAACGTTGGAGTGGACGTCGCATGGCAGGAAGCTGAGGGCATCGCAAACTTAGCCGGCACGTTGACGTGCGTCGCACCGCCACCGTCGACGGGATGCGGGTCGGCGGCAGCACTGTTGTTATGGTACTGCTCCATGTACGGGAACCTTGGAGTCTTCGCCACCGCGCCTTTGCCCGACGCCTTCCCCCCCTTCTTCAACCACTTCCAGATGCGCACGAGGTTGCGCCACTGCTTCTGTACCGCATTAACGTCGCGAACCCAGCCGGGGTTGTCCCTCTCGATGTGTAGGACGAGGCGGGCCCAGTACTGAGAGCCTTGTTTCCCAATGAGCGACTCAAACTCGTCCTTAGTAAACCAGCGCGCTGCGACGAATATTGCGTTCTCCCACTGCGACCAGCAGCTCCGCTTGATGAGGATTTGATCCCGAGTCCTTGGAGCACCGCGCGGGGGTTCACCACCCTTGCCCGCGGTCTTAACACCGCTTGCGGTCTGCTTACGGCCACGACGACCAACCGTCTTCTCTGGTTGAGTTTCCTCCGGAGCCTCGTCATCGTCGCCCTCCACATCGTCGTCATCGTTGGACATGCCCTTGTCATCGTCTTCACCGGAGTCGTCGTCGTCGTCCGTACCAACCGCGTACGCGTTGTAGTCGAACTTGCCTTCATCGTTGACGAAGGTGTCATCGTCAACTGTGCGTGACGAGGCCACCCAATCCACATCACGACGCACACGCGACGAAACATCACGCGGGAATTGAGAGGAGGTGCCACACAGCGCAGCAGTTCCCTGTGGGACAGGGCCAGTGGGCCTGCGACCAGCGGCGATCTGCTTGTTCATCTAGGTAATGTATGGGATCTCATTGAGATCCCGCGGGCAAGTGTCTTCTGTCGCCACAGCGTCCTTTACCTCATGCGCCATGGCTAGCAAACAGATAAGATCAGGAGTAGCGAATGAAAGAGGAACAAGAAAGGGATCTGGGAGGAGATGGAATTGATAACCTTGGAGTGGAAGATGGGATAGGGGTCTGGAAGGGGTGTGGTTTCGGCTGGAAGTTTTCCACGAGGGCAGGTTGCACGTGAGGGGTGGAATGCATCATGTGGAGGCCCTCATATTCGTTTTTGGGCTGTCTGATTCATTAGACTTGGTACACAGTTTTAGTCTGATCAATCAGACTTGGTACAAAAAAAAAAACTGAAATTTCAGAGTACATAAAAAAAAAGTATGATCATTCAGAGTTGATGCAAGCGAAAAAATTGATGGTGTTTACAAGATCTGGCCTTGGTTGTCTCGTGATGTTAAAGGCACATTACATCCAAGCATATGCCGTAGCTTTATTATATTCTCCTCTACCCAGACAAATGCATCATTATCGTTATCAGATGCATGATCTCCTATATAGATAGTACGGTAGCTCAGTGTTGGTCGGTCAGAGGCTGCCACGACCCGCACTCGACGAGCGCGGTGAACTTCGCCGTCGCCAGGTGTGCTTCTGGTTGCTGGCGTGCTTACGGAAGGACTGGATCTGCACGTGAGTGGCACCTTTCCCGCGCCTCTCGCACTTGCCTGCGTCGCCATCATGGACTGAACAAACCCTACACTGAAACACAGGCAACCCCGTGGTGGTTTTTGTTAGTACAAGCCAAGGAAAACGAGCGAACAACTGTGACTCGTACTTTGCAACATCATTCTCGTAGACATATTCAATGGGCTGTGCCAAGGTTAACGTCGTCTGCTTGAGTTGGGCGTCGACTGTCTCTTCGATAGCATCAGGGGCATCCGAGACTAAGGGCGCAGGGTTCTCAGGGGTCGAGCTATTAACAGGCGTAGAACGGGGCGTTTCGTCGGCAATGTGGGCATCTTCCTGAACAGCCATGGCAGGGTCAGGAGAGTGCCGAGCAAAATGGGTGGTAGCAAGAGCTCAAACAAGCATTGGAGACAATGAGGTGAAGCACGGGGCCCGAGGGGTAAAAGAAAGCCTCAAAGACAATGTATCTTTGACGCTCACCAACTCCTGCGAGTGGGCGGTTGCCTAGCATGTACGGCAACGACGAGGCGCTGCTGCCGTGCACTACTGAGTGCAATGTTTCGTGGTTGCCAAATGCAGCAATGTGGGTACTGGTGGACACCTTGATGGGTTGGCAAAAGCTGGCAAAAGGACCAATCATCAAGCAAGCTGGTGCTTACGAGGCGAATACCGCGCCGCAAGGTGGCGTCGCTCTCAAAAACTTGACTGTTGTCCCATACATAGCGTGATTCACAGGACAACAGTCAAATGCCAGCGCTAACCCCGGTTGTCGGCGCCAACGCAGGTACATTGAATCAGAGTCGGTACGCGTTTATAGTCTGAAGGTTCAGAGAGCACAGCAGAAAAAAATCCAATTTTTTCAGAGTGAGCCCTAAAAAAAAAGCTGAAACTTCAGAGTTTGGGCCAAAAAAAAAATGAACTTCAGAGTTCACTTAGAAAAAAGGCTGAAATATCAGAGTTTCTTACCCAAATCAGATAAATCTGACTTATGGGGGCCTGATCATGTGTTTGGTTGCCCGAGGGAAGCAGTTTCTTTTCCAGCGCATATCTGGCAATTTGTGGGGTGTCCAGGTGCATGCGGTCGAGTCGGGTGAGACCGTGACATTTCGACACGCGTGCGAAGGGTTGGATGTGACGGGGCATCGTGCAATTCGTCCGCGACTTTAGCGTGTTCAACACTAACCAATGTAAAATACAGTTAAAGTCGCACTAGGGCGACACGCGTTTGTGACACAATACAGTCCAGCTTCTGTTCTGTTTGAACCATGGTCCGTTCCATTCTTTCATATAAGTGCCCCCCCTGCCCTCTAGTCAGGAGCAGATTACTCGCACGCTACAATTATGTACACTGTAAGCGCAGCAGCATGCACACGCTAAATATAATTAGGCCGGCACGATGGGTAACCCGCCAGTGCAGCGAAAAACGGGAGCACCATGCACGACTCCTGCTGCTCCTCAGTGGGCCTTCTGAGTCGACTCAAAGGTTACCCCCCATCGCAGCGAAGAACGGGAGCACCATGCGCAACAGCTGCTGCTCCTCAATGGGCCTCTCGAGTCGACTCAAAGGTTTACCTGCCAGAGCAGCGAAGAACGGGAGCACCACGCGCGACAGCTGCTGCCCCTCAATGGGTAGACAACTTTTGAGACGTCTCAAAAGTGAAGAACGGGAGCACCACGCGCGACAGCTGCTGCTCCTCTATGGGTTTCGTCATGTACCCGTCCATCCCAGCCTTTGCACACCGCTCCCGCGTGCCCGCACCCACATCAGCAGTCAGCGCTATCACCAGCAGCCGTCCCTTCTCTGCCCTCACTGCACCTGTCCCTGGTGCTTCTGCTGCCGCCTCTGCTGGTGAGCTTCGAGGGGAGCCTGATGCTGACGGGTTTCTGGTGGCTGATGGGATTTTGGTATCTGATAGGCTTTCTGGTAAGAGTGCTTTTAATGCGTAGGGTGATGTGGTTGCAGGTGGGGTTGAAGAGGGTGGGGGCTCCTGCTCCGTGCTGCGGATGCGGGAGACTGCTTCGTAGCCGTCCATTCCCGGCATCTGACGGTGGAAAACGAATGGAGAGATTGGGAAGGGGAAGGGGAAGGGGAAGGGGAAGGGGAAGGGGAAGGGGAAGGGGAAGGGGAAGGGGAAGGGGAAGGGGAAGGGGAAGGGGAAGGGGAAGGGGAAGGGGAAGGGGAAGGGGAAGGGGAAGGGGAAGGGGAAGGGGAAGGGGAAGGGGAAGGGGAAGGGGAAGGGGAAGGGGAAGGGGAAGGGGAAGGGGAAGGGGAAGGGGAAGGGGAAGGGGAAGGGGAAGGGAGAGGGATTAGGATTGAGGACTTGCTAACAAACGATGCTATATTGCGCTGCTATTTTCTATGTACTCCAGAGAGTATCACATCATTACGTCATTAGGTTTGCCAGAATAACATAAGAAAACAAATATAACTACTTTTAGATACAGTCAACAACACATACATACCAGTCTAACAGGTTGTATATATACACATATATATACAGATATATACATATGAAAATTATGTACACGCAAGTGTGCAATGACATCAGCATGTCGGGGTGGTGAGAAAGAGCACACCTGAATGTCCATGAAGACGCAGTCAAGCGGCAAGGCAGCACCGTCGCGCATCTCTCGCACCCGCCTCACTGCCTTGCCCCCCCCGTCCACCTCCTCCACCTGCACCCCGTACCGCTGCAGCATGCGCCCTATCACCTGGTGGGGAGGGAGGGGGGAAGGGAGGGAGGGAGGGCGGGCTGAGGAGCACAAATACAGCACTCTTTCACGCCTCACTGCCTTGGCCCCCCATCCACCTCCTTCACGCACACGCCATACTGCTGCAACATGCGGCCTATCCCCTGGTGGGGAGGGAGAGGAGGGAGGGATGGGTGGGAGGGCAGGTGTGCAGCCTCAAATACGGCGTGAAAAAGAATAGTGAGGTGGCAGGCGTACAACATACAGATTAGTACTACTGCCTTTCTTTTGCTAAAAGTGACTTTCCGACTGCAGCTCGCCCAGTCCACATGGCTGACAGTGTTTGAGGGCAGGTGTGCAGACACTCGCTCATTCACGCAGCATGCGCTCAATCACCTTGCGGTTGACCATGTTGTCATCCACCACTAGCACACGCCGCCCACTTAAAGCCTGCGTCAGCTGCTGCGCAGCGCTGCTGCTCGCCCTGCGCACCGCCACGGGGGAGGGAGTGCTTGCTCCTGCTGCTACTGCTGTCGCCGCCGCTGCTGCCACCCCTGCCGTCACTGCTGCTGCTCCTGGTGCTACTGGTGATGGAGTGCGCGGGCTCAGTTGACTGTGTTGACTGGGTTGACTCGGTTGACTGGGTTGACTCCAGGGGTTCTGTCGGCCAGCCTGTGCCGCCCCCCTGCTTCTTGTCCCGCCCCCGCTGTTGCTTCTGATCGGCCTATCGTCCATAATAGCACACCTCACAATGTCGATGCTGAATCGCTTTCCCCCTGCCTCCCTCCGTAGACTCACACTCCCCCTGTTCCCACTCACAACCCCCCTGCTGTTCCCACTCACACTCCCCTTGTTCCCACTCGCATCCCCCACACCCCCACCCGTCCCCCCAAACCCCACCCCAACCCCACCCCCACCCCCGCCCCCACCCCTACCCCCACCCCCATCCCTTCTCCCACGCTCGCTCCTGCCCCCATCCCGGCCCTTAGCTGCCCAAATCCCGTCGGCCTTACCCCCCTCCTGCCTGCTCCCCCACTCCCCTTCCCCCCCTCCCCCCCTCATGGGCGCAGGGCTCCCCCCAGGGGCCTCCCTTCCCCCCACGGGGGGAAGGCTCTCCCCAAACTGCGGGCTCTCCCACCCCTTCCCCAGACTGCCGTCCAGCCCGTCCAGAAAGCCGCCCCAGCTTGCCGCCCGCACGTGGTGGGTGGGCGGCAGAGCGTTGGAGGATGGCGATGAGATGGAAGCAGGAGATGCTTTAGAGGAATTCAGAGCCCCGGCCTTGCTTCCTGCCTCGGATCCTGCTGCTCCTGCCCCTGCTGTCCTTGCCCCTGCGTCTGTCCCCATCCTTGGCCCTGGGTCTGCCCCTATCCCGAGCCCCGCTGCTGCTGGTGCTGGTGCTGCATTGTCTACTGCTTGTGCTGATGCTGGTGCTGGGGTAAGGAGTCTAGAGGAGGAGTCAGAGGCAGGGGACAGTGATACTACAGAAGATGACTCTAGGTTCGGTGATACTAGACGGGGTGATGCTAGGTTCGGTGATGCTACAGGGGGTGACGCTAGGTTCGGTGATGCTACAGGGGGTGACACTAGGTTCGGTGAAACTAGAGGGGGTGACGCTAGGTTCGGTGATACTAGAGGGGGTGAAAGAAGAGTGGGAGAGGACGTCACTAAAGGGGGAGCTTGGCTGTAAGGAGAGACAAGATGAGCAGTCAGGCCAGCAGCAGCAGATGCAACCTTAGTGCCAGCAGCAGCAGCAGCAGCAGCAGCAGCAGCAGCAGCAGCAGCAGTGGTGGCAGAATCAGGGCCAGCTACACCATTTCCATCACCACAGAGAGCTCTCATTGTTGCCAATCCTCTCCGCCCCCTCAAACTGTCTCCCTCCCCATTCGAGCCCACTCCTATCCCCTCAATCTCCTGCTCCAACAAATCCCCCCACTCGCTCACACTCTCTCCCTCACTCCCACTCTCTCCTTCACTCAAACCATCCCAATGGCTATTCTCCTCCTCCACACACACTCCTTCAGTCGCCCCCCTCTCCTCCCTGCCCCATGTCCCCTCCACTCTCCCCTCCTCTCTTCCCTCCCCCTCCTCAGCTTTCCCCTCACGCTCCTCCCCAACCCCCTGCCTATTCCCCTCCCCTTTCCCCTCCCCTTCCCCCTCCCCCCCCTTCCCCCTCCCCCTCTCCCTCCCCCTCCCCCTCCCCCTCCCCCTGCCCCGTTCCCCCCCAGAGAACCTCCCCCAGACAGCTGGCAAGGGCACTCATGCGGACAGGCTTGGAAAGGCAGGCTCGGAACCCAGCCTCGTTGGCAGCCTCGGTGAAGGCTGTGTCATGGTGGGACGTTACTAGCACTGCGGCAATCCAGGGGGGTGAGCTGGCAATGTAGCTACTGTAGTTACTGTAGTTACTGTAGCTATTGCTGTACAAATTACTGTATAGATGGCTGTTTTGACATCTCTGGCAGCTGCAGTTGCCACTGCAATTGCAGTCAGCATTCCTACTTTGCAGATCTTCAGCCTCAGAAGCCGAAGCAGCAATCGCAGCAGCAGCAGCGGCAACAGAAGCAGCAGCAGCAGCGGCGGCAGCAGGTGGGGCAGCAGAAGGAGCAGCAGCAGGAGCAGAGACAGCAGCGGCAGCAGCAGTGAGGGAGTCCAAGGAGGGCGAGTGGAGCATCCAATCAGTCATGGAGAGCGTTGCATGCAGCCCACGCAACCCCTCTGTGCCCCCGCGCCCATACTCCCCGCCTGCAGCTGCAGGCACACCATCACTGCCAGCAGCACCAGCAGCAGCAGCAGCAGCAGCAGCAGCAGCAGCAGCAGCAGCAGCAGCAGCAGCTGCAGCTATGGTGGTACCGGGTAGTGGGGCAAGAGTGCAGGTAGTGTGACTGTCTGCCGCTCTTCCTGCCCTCCCCATCCCTGCCCCTGCCCTCCCCATCCCTGCTGCCACCATCATCGCCTCCCATGCCTTACCTTGCCATGTCAACCTGCTTGGAAGATCATGCTCCTCTGCATGCTCCTCTGCATGCTCCTCTGCATGCTCCTCTGCATGCTCCTCTGCATGCTCCTCTGCATGCTCCTCCCCCTCCCCCTTCTCTTCCTTCTCCCCACCCATCCCCTCCTGTTGCCTTTCCCCCTCCTCCTCCTCCTCCTCCCTCTCCCCCTCCCTCTCGTCCCCCTCCTCCTCACCCTCGTCCTCCTCCTCCTGCTGCTGTTGCCGCTCAAGCCACTCGCCATCCACAAACACCACCACCGGCTGCTGCAAAGGCTGCTGCAAAGGCTGCTGCAAAGGCTGCTGCAAAGGCTGCTGCAAAGGCTGCTGCAAAGGCTGCTGCAAAGGCTGCATCAAACGCGCCTCACCAGGAGCAGAGCCAGTGCCGAACGTAGAATTGAGCACCGGCATGCCAAGCCTGTTGAGCAGGCTCTCCAGGACGCCGAGCCTCACCGGCCGGTCGTCCAGTAGGATCGCGCCCAGCCTGGCCCGAACCAGAGCTGCTCTGATCTCGCTCAGGCTTGCTGCCCCATTCCTTTCTTCCAAACCAAAAGGAGAAAGAAAGGAACTTCTCAAAGCTTCAATGGAACCAGCATCAACATCAGCATCGCCAGCATCAGCAGCAGCAGCGGCACCTGCTGCAGGAGCAACACCATCTGCCACCCCAGCCACGGTCCCATTTCCACTTCTGGAACACTTTCCCGAACCGGAAACCAGGTCCTGCTGCAGGTTCGGCACAGGCTCGGGCCGAGGCTGGTCACATGGAAGCAGGAGGTCAAAATAAAAGGTGCTTCCGAGGCCAGGGCGCGAGGAGAAGGAGAGGCGCCCCCCCATGAGGTCAACGAGGTGGCGGGAGATGGAAAGGCCGATTCCTGTGCCGCCGTGCGTGCGCGTCGTGCTCGGGTCTGCCTGGGTGAATGGCTTCAGGATGGTGCGCTGTGCTACATAGGGAATGCCGTCTCCTGTGTCCTGTGGTGGTGGGAGGGGAGCAGCGAAATGTTCCCATAGAGGGGGGTAGAGCGCAGGGAGGAAAGGGGGAGGGAGTGAGAAGGGGCAGCATGTGCGTGCGTGTTGTGCTGGGGTCTGCTTGGGTGAATGGCTTCAGGATGGTGCTCTGGGACTTTTGAGTCAACTCAAAAGTCACCTCGTTACAATGGCTTGAGGATGGTGCGCTGAGCAGCGTAGGGAATGCTATCTCTTGTGTCCTGTGGTGGTGGGAGGGCAGATGAACGGGAGGGGACAGCAGGTATGAAAACGAGGGGAGGAAGGGGGAAGGGGAGTGAGAAGAGGCAGCCTGTGCGTGTTGCATCGTGCTTGCGGCTGCCGCCCATTTCAACAAAATGCCACCCACTTCAACAAAATACGGCTCACCTCAACAGAAACCACCAATCGAACAGTTTGAGGCCTGTCGTCTGCTGCCACTGCTGCAGCTGCCCCACTTCTTCCTCCTCCTGCTGCTGCTCCTCCTGTCACCAACTGCCGTCTCTCCCACTCACAGCCCCCCTCCACACACCCTTCCTTGCCTCCCTCCCCTTCTCCCTCCTCACCCCCATCACGCCCCTCACCCCTCTCAACCCCCTCGTCCCTCTCGTCCCTCTCGCCCCCCTCTCCCTCTCGCAGCAGCGCCTGCTGCCGGCCCTGCTGCAGCCAGGCAGCCCTCCTAGCCGCCAGCACGTGCCAGCTGTTGCAGCTCCTCACTGCCGCCCGCCCGCTCATTGTCACGTGCGCCTGCTGCACCTGCTGCTGCTGCTGCTGCTGCTGCTGCTGCTGCTGCTGCTGCTGGGCCTGCTGCTGCTGCGGCTGCTGCTGCTGCTCGTGGTACTGCTGTTTCCCGCTGCTTGTAGGAGCAGCAGCAGCAGCAGCAGCTGGTGGGCGGCTGGGATGAACTACCACCTCCAACAGCTCCTGCTCCTTGCCTTGCCTTTGCCCTACTAGCCCTCTATCCCCTGCCAGCCCTTGCTCTGCAACCAGTACCCTTTTGTCCCCCACCTCCTGCCTCTCCATCTCCTCCTCCTCCTGCTGCTGCTCCTCTGGCTCCTCCTGTCCGTCTTCCAGCTGCTGATACGCCAGCAGCCGCTGCTCGCTCATGCATGCACCCAGAGGCAGCCCGCACGCAGGGCTCATGCTGCTGTGGCAGCCGCTACTCGAGGAAACAGCAGCAGCAGCACCGACCCCAGAAGCAGCAGAAGCAGCAGCAGCAGCACGGGCCCTTCCACTCTTGGTGCGCGAGAGCAGCCTGGCAGGGCGGAAGGAGACAGTGGTGGTGGGCATGGGCATGGGCATGGTCGTGGTCGTGGTCGTGGTCTGCATGGCAATGCCAATGGCAGACCCAGGGTAACATGCACCGGCTGCTTCACCATCCCCCTGCCTGCCACTCACCTGGGCTGCCTGCCACTCTCGCTCCCCACTTTGCACTGCACCATCACCACCACCCTCACCGTTATCAGTACGACCGTTGCCATCCCAATCACCGCCACCGGCGCTGTTCGCACCAGTAAAGAGGCCCCGTAGCCTCAACAGACCGTTCCTGAACGGCCCGTCACTTGCCTCTTTTGTCAACCCATCGCTTGTGACTGCTGTTTGTCCAAACAACCCCCCGAATATGCCGCAAATTGGCTGTCCAGTGCCAGTGGTCGTGTGCGTGCTGTGAGTGCTCGGAGTGCTGTGTGATGCAGTGAGGCTATTGACCGCTGTGGAGGCATCCCCGGAAGAGGACGGTGCTGCCAGTGCCAGCTGCTTATCCTGCTCCTGCTGCTGACGCTGCTGCGGATGCTGTGTTTTTGTCTCTTGATGCTCTTGTTCCTGTTGCTGCTGCTGTTGCTGCTGCTGCTGCTGCTGCTGCTGCTGCTGCTGTTGGTAGGCAGTCCCCCGCTTGGACTGGCTACGGGTAGCGTCTCGCCGGAGGTCCTCGTGAATGTCGGCCGTGCGGATTGCGATGAAGATGTGTCCACGTTCGGTGTACTTGCACGCGTTGGACAGCAAGTTGATTAGTACCTGGTGTGGGGGAGGGGAGGAGGGGTGGGTAGACCGGGGGGGATGGCGATGAAGATGTGTCCACGTTCGGTGTACTTGCACGCGTTGGACAGCAAGTTGATTAGTACCTGGTGTGGGGGAGGGGAGGAGGGGTGGGTAGACCGGGGGGGATGGCGATGAAGATGTGTCCACGTTCGGTGTACTTGCACGCGTTGGACAGCAAGTTGATTAGTACCGGGTGTGGGGGAGGGGAGGAGGGGTGGGTAGACCGGGGGGGATGGCGATGAAGATGTGTCCACGTTCGGTGTGTTAGAATATCTCTGTATAGCATGCTAAGTATAAAGGGGTTGGGGCTACACCCAACTTTGGGGTGTAGACTTGCAAGTTGGGGTGCCAATCCAACCCATAAGTGTTGGAGCCCCCAAATGAAAGTTGGGTGCCCCCTCCTTGCAACCCACAAGTTGGGTGCCCCCTCCTTGCAAGTTGGCAAAGGGGCTTGCCAACCACCCAACTCCCCCTCTTTCTCTTCCAAGCCCCTCTTGCATCCAAGCCCCTCTTGCATCCAAGCCCCTCTTGCATCCAAGCCCCTCTTGCATCCAAGCCCCTCTTGCATCCAAGCCCCTCTTGCATCCAAGCCCCTCTTGCATCCAAGCCCCTCTTGCATCCAAGCCCCTCTTGCATCCAAGCCCCTCTTGCATCCAAGCCCCTCTTGCATCCAAGCCCCTCTTGCATCCAAGCCCCTCTTGCATCCAAGCCCCTCTTGCATCCAAGCCCCTCTTGCATCCAAGCCCCTCTTGCATCCAAGCCCCTCTTGCATCCAAGCCCCTCTTGCATCCAAGCCCCTCTTGCATCCAAGCCCCTCTTGCATCCAAGCCCCTCTTGCATCCAAGCCCCTCTTGCATCCAAGCCCCTCTTGCATCCAAGCCCCTCTTGCATCCAAGCCCCTCTTGCATCCAAGCCCCTCTTGCATCCAAGCCCCTCTTGCATCCAAGCCCCTCTTGCATCCAAGCCCCTCTTGCATCCAAGCCCCTCTTGCATCCAAGCCCCTCTTGCATCCAAGCCCCTCTTGCATCCAAGCCCCTCTTGCATCCAAGCTCCCCACTCTATGTATACCCTCTTGTGACCTAATCAATTCAATGGTTCACTTTACAACTTTCACACGGTGTACTTGCACGCGTTGGACAGCAGGTTGATCAGCACCTGGTGGGCGCGGGGGGTGAAGGAGGACAGTATCGAAGATGGCTCCCCATTCGGCTCACATGGATTTTGTTAGTGCGACAACTTGACAGAACCACGTCACAGAATCGTCTGACAGCCCACCTGACAGCCCACCTGGCAGCCCACCTGGCAGCCCACCTGGCAGACGCACAGGGAGTAACCAAGCACAGCAGAAAGCACACGCAGGTCGACTTATGTTGCGTCGTGCAGGTGCGGCTTGTAAGAGCCAAGAAACCTTGCAAGCAGGTCTAAACCTTGCAAGCAGGTCGGAACCTTGCAAGCAGGTCGGAACCTTGCAAGCAGGTCGGAACCTTGCAAGCAGGTCGGAACCTTGCAAGCAGGTCGGAACCTTGCAAGCAGGTCGGAACCTTGCAAGCAGGTCGGAACCTTGCAAGCAGGTCGGAACCTTGCAAGCAGGTCGGAACCTTGCAAGCAGGTCGGAACCTTGCAAGCAGGTCGGAACCTTGCAAGCAGGTCGGAACCTTGCAAGCAGGTCGAAACCTTGCAAGCAGGTCGAAACCTTGCAAGCAGGTCGAAACCTTGCAAGCAGGTCGAAACCTTGCAAGCAGGTCGGAACCTTGCAAGCAGGTCGGAACCTTGCAAGCAGGTCGGAACCTTGCAAGCAGGTCGGAACCTTGCAAGCAGGTCGGAACCTTGCAAGCAGGTCGGAACCTTGCAAGCAGGTCGGAACCTTGCAAGCAGGTCGAAACCTTGCAAGCAGGTCGAAACCTTGCAAGCAGGTCGAAACCTTGCAAGCAGGTCGGAACCTTGCAAGCAGGTCGGAACCTTGCAAGCAGGTCGGAACCTTGCAAGCAGGTCGGAACCTTGCAAGCAGGTCGGAACCTTGCAAGCAGGTCGGAACCTTGCAAGCAGGTCGGAACCTTGTGGAGAGTCAAGACTTCAACTGACCTGGCGGAAGCGCAGCGAGTCCCCAAGCACGGCAGCGGGCACGAGCGGGTCGACGTAAGCCGCCACCTGCAGCAGCGGCTTGTCTCGGAAGCGCTCGATGAACATTGTGAGCACCGTGTCCACCTCTCCCCTCACGTCCATGGGTACGTGCTCTAATTGCATCTTCTGCGCCTGGTGCAGGGTAGGGAAGGGAAATGGGGGGAAGGGAATGAAGAAGGGGAGGGTTGGGGTGAGAAAAGTACCGTGTCCCCCTCTCCTCGCACGTCCATGGGTATGTGATCTAACTGCATCTTCTGCGCCTGGTGGGGTGCGAATGGGGAGGTGAGTTGGCGGATGGGGGGGGAAGGTGGGGAGGTGGGCAGTTAGAGGAGGGAGTGGAAGCGCGTGGTGAGATGAGAAGCGGTGGGGTGGAAGTGGAGTGGAGTGGAGTGGAGTGGAGTGGAGTGGAGTGGAGTGGAGTGGAGTGGAGTGGAGTGGAGTGGAGTGGAGTGCACCCTTCTGGCTCACTCCTTTCCTCTCTATCGTAAGCAGCGCTCCCCTCTACCAACGCACCTCAATCTTGGAGAGGTCGAGGATGTCAGTGATGCGCCCCAGCAGCGGCCGCCCGCCCGCTGCTGTCCGCACACACACTCCTACCTCACCTTACCTCACCTCACCTTTTTCCACCACTCTCCACCGCTACTGTCAGCAGCGTACCTCAATCTTGGAGAGGTCGAGGATGTCGGTGATGAGCCCCAGCAGCGCCCGCCCACTGCTGTGTGCACATCTCAGTCTGCACATCCCGACCTCACCTCTCTCCACCTCTCTCCACCTCTCTCCACCTCTGCAACGCACCTCGATCTTGGAGAGGTCGAGGATGTCAGTGATGAGTTCAAGCAGCGCCCGCCCGCTCGTGCGAGCCGTTTCCACATAGTCCAGTTGCGTCACAGTGAGCGGCGTCTCCAGGAGAAGGTTCAGCATGCCTGGGGGTGTGGGGGTGTGGGTGAGGGTGTGGGGGTGTAGGGGGTGTGGGGGCCAGGTGGGGGCATGCATGAGCACTGGTACCAACATCAGTACCAACATCAGTACCAACATCAGTACCAACATCAGTACCAACATCAGTACCAACATCAGTACCAACATCAGTACCAACACCAGTACCAGGAGAACAAGCATCACCAGCCGCAGCAGCAGCAGCACCACCTGGCAGGCACACACCTCGCACTCACCACAAGCGCCAGGCACCTCACAGCACCGCACAGCACCCACCTATGACGCCATTCAGTGGTGTGCGCAGCTCGTGGCTCATAGTGGTGAGAAACAGCCCGTTGGCCTTACTCACCCGCTCCACCATGGCAGAAACCACTATCAGTAGCACCGCACACCACCGCAAACCACCCACCTATGACGCCATTGAGCGGTGTGCGGAGCTCGTGGCTCATAGTAGTGAGAAACAGCCCCTTGGCTTTACTCGCCCGCTCCGCAACCCTCTTGGCCGCTTTCATGCGGTTCTTCACCGCTTCCAACCGCTGGTAATCCCTCTCCAGCTGCTGCACGCGCTCACACGCCGCCCAGTACACGTACGCTGCGAGCCCCATCACCACTATAACGAGGATAGCCCACCCTGCACTCGCTGCAGGGAATACATAGGTTGTGTTGTACCTGGGAGGGGGGAAGGGGTGAGGGGGGGTTGAGGAGAGGTGAGGGAGAGTAAGGGGATCGGAGAAAGAAGAGGGAGACCAGGTTTTGACAACACCCCCCTCTCCCCCCCCCCCCCCTTTTTTTTTAACCCACCTGCACCGCATCGCACCCACCTGCACCGCATCTCGTATTCGCGGTACTTGTCCCCCAGATTCACCATGTTCACATGCGCATACGAGTCCTCCTGTCCGGGCGGCAACTCTTGTCCTCTAGGCTCGTATATAACCTCCCCCGCCCGCTTCCCCTTCTCCCCACTGCTCCCAGTGACGTCGTAAATTCGTGCAAACATGGGCAGGGCCAAGCCGTGGTATTCCTAGGATGGGGGTGATTGGGGAAGGATGAAGAGCGGGCGGGTGTAGAATGGGGGGGGGGGGAGAAGACCGTTGAGTCGACTCTTAAGCAAACATGGGCAGGGCCAAGCCGTGGCATTCCTGGGATGGGGGTGAGTCGGAGCAAGAGCAGGTGCGTGTGGGGGAGAAAATGACTCTTGAGTTGACTCAAAAGCCAAGAAATTCCTGGGATGCTGGTGATTGGGGAAGGAACAAGAGTGGGCAAGTGTGGGGGAGAGAGGAAGACTCTTGAGTCAACTGAAGTGCAAACATGGGCAGGGCCAAGCCGTGGTACTCCTGGGGTTGATTGAGTCACCTCCCAGCACCGTTCACCACCGCTCACCTCAAGCATTGCATCCCACCAGTCCAGTTTTTGAGAATTCTCAAAAGCGCTTCCTTTTTTAGTCGACTAAAAAAAACCCATCATGTGGCCAAGGCAAACAGCCTGTATCCCATAATTCCCCACTTCCCACCTGTAAACAACCTGCCCCTACCACCGCTCACCGCATGTCACCACCGCTCACTGCATGTCACCACCTATCACCACCAGCATCGCATCCCACGTGGGCTCAAAGTCCACAATTGCCATCACTCATGTAACCAAGCCAAGCCACACCCCCTGCCCTTCCCACTTCCCACCACCCAGCACCCCTCACCACTGCATACCGCCAGCAGCGCATCCCACATCGGCTCAAAGTCCACGATTGCCGTCCGTCATATAGCCCAGGCACACCACCTTTCCCACCTTCCCTCACCACCCCACACCCCTCACCACCCAGCACCCCTCACCACCCAGCACCCCTCACCATCCGTCACCCTTTCCCCCCCTCCACCACTCCTCACCGCAAGCATCGCATCCCACATCGGCTCAAAGTCAACGATTGCCGTCATGTAGCCGAGGCACGCCGCCCGGTACTCGCTAGAAGACGAACCGTCAGGCAGCGGGTCGGGCGTGCGGTAAACAGGGAAGACTATAAAGAGGCCGTGCGAGATGGGTCGCGTGTTGGAGGAGAGGGAGAGGTTGAGGCGGAAGGGGGGTGCGAGTGCCCCCAATACCCCATCGTCCCGCGCTCGAGTCACCGCCTCTATTGTTCCAGGGCGGTCGGCTGGAGCGGAGAAGGTGCGGGGGGAAGGGGGAAATAGGGGGCAGCGTGAGTGCCCCCCCATAGTCCCGTGCTCGAGTCACCGCCTCTATTGCTCCAGGGCGGTCGGCTGGGAATGGGGAAAGGGCTGGCGGGCAACGGGAGAAAAGGGGGAGATGGGTCACGTGGTGGCGGAGAGGGAGAGGTTGAGGCGGAAGGGGGGTGCGAGTGCCCCCAATGCTCCATCGTCCCGCGCTCGAGTCAACAGGGGGCCCTCTGTTGTCGCTGGCTGGTCGGCTGGAGGGGTCGGGGGCAGCAGAGGTTAGAAGGGGGAAGAGAAGGGGAAAGGGGGGAGGCAAGGGGGAAGAGGGGAGGAGAGGTAGGTGTGAGTGCCCCCATCACTCCATAGTCCCGCGCTCGAGTCACCGCCTCTGTTGTCACACGGATGGAAAAGGAACATGGAAAAGGAACATGGACAAGGAACATGGAAAAGGAACATGGAAAAGGAACATGGAAAAGGAACATGGACAAGGAACATGGAAAAGGAACATGGACAAGGAACATGGAAAAGGAACATGGAAAAGGAACATGGAAAAGGAACATGGACAAGGAACATGGAAAAGGAACATGGAAAAGGAACATGGAAAAGGAACATGGAAAAGGAACATGGAAAAGGAACATGGAAAAGGAACATGGACAAGGAACATGGAAAAGGAACATGGAAAAGGAACATGGAAAAGGAACATGGACAAGGAACATGGAAAAGGAACATGGACAAGGAACATGGAAAAGGAACATGGAAAAGGAACATGGAAAAGGAACATGGACAAGGAACATGGAAAAGGAACATGGAAAAGGAACATGGACAAGGAACATGGAAAAGGAACATGGAAAAGGAACATGGAAAAGGAACATGGAAAAGGAACATGGACAAGGAACATGGAAAAGGAACATGGAAAAGGAACATGGAAAAGGAACATGGACAAGGAACATGGAAAAGGAACATGGACAAGGAACATGGAAAAGGAACATGGACAAGGAACATGGAAAAGGAACATGGAAAAGGAACATGGAAAAGGAACATGGAAAAGGAACATGGACAAGGAACATGGAAAAGGAACATGGAAAAGGAACATGGAAAAGGAACATGGACAAGGAACATGGAAAAGGAACATGGAAAAGGAACATGGAAAGGAACATGGAAAAGGAACATGGACAAGGAACATGGAAAAGGAACATGGACAAGGAACATGGAAAAGGAACATGGAAAAGGAACATGGAAAAGGAACATGGACAAGGAACATGGAAAAGGAACATGGAAAAGGAACATGGACAAGGAACATGGAAAAGGAACATGGAAAAGGAACATGGAAAAGGAACATGGAAAAGGAACATGGACAAGGAACATGGAAAAGGAACATGGAAAAGGAACATGGAAAAGGAACATGGACAAGGAACATGGAAAAGGAACATGGACAAGGAACATGGAAAAGGAACATGGACAAGGAACATGGAAAAGGAACATGGACAAGGAACATGGACAAGGAACATGGAAAAGGAACATGGACAAGGAACATGGACAAGGAACATGGAAAAGGAACATGGAAAAGGAACATGGACAAGGAACATGGAAAAGGAACATGGACAAGGAACATGGACAAGGAACATGGAAAAGGAACATGGACAAGGAACATGGAAAAGGAACATGGACAAGGAACATGGAAAAGGAACATGGACAAGGAACATGGACAAGGAACATGGAAAAGGAACATGGACAAGGAACATGGAAAAGGAACATGGAAAAGGAACATGGACAAGGAACATGGAAAAGGAACATGGACAAGGAACATGGACAAGGAACATGGAAAAGGAACATGGACAAGGAACATGGAAAAGGAACATGGACAAGGAACATGGAAAAGGAACATGGACAAGGAACATGGAAAAGGAACATGGACAAGGAACATGGACAAGGAACATGGAAAAGGAACATGGACAAGGAACATGGAAAAGGAACATGGACAAGGAACATGGAAAAGGAACATGGAAAAGGAACATGGAAAAGGAACATGGACAAGGAACATGGAAAAGGAACATGGACAAGGAACATGGACAAGGAACATGGAAAAGGAACATGGACAAGGAACATGGACAAGGAACATGGAAAAGGAACATGGACAAGGAACATGGAAAAGGAACATGGAAAAGGAACATGGACAAGGAACATGGAAAAGGAACATGGACAAGGAACATGGACAAGGAACATGGAAAAGGAACATGGACAAGGAACATGGAAAAGGAACATGGACAAGGAACATGGAAAAGGAACATGGACAAGGAACATGGAAAAGGAACATGGACAAGGAACATGGAAAAGGAACATGGACAAGGAACATGGAAAAGGAACATGGACAAGGAACATGGACAAGGAACATGGAAAAGGAACATGGACAAGGAACATGGAAAAGGAACATGGAAAAGGAACATGGACAAGGAACATGGAAAAGGAACATGGACAAGGAACATGGAAAAGGAACATGGACAAGGAACATGGAAAAGGAACATGGAAAAGGAACATGGAAAAGGAACATGGACAAGGAACATGGAAAAGGAACATGGACAAGGAACATGGACAAGGAACATGGAAAAGGAACATGGACAAGGAACATGGACAAGGAACATGGAAAAGGAACATGGACAAGGAACATGGAAAAGGAACATGGAAAAGGAACATGGACAAGGAACATGGAAAAGGAACATGGACAAGGAACATGGACAAGGAACATGGAAAAGGAACATGGACAAGGAACATGGAAAAGGAACATGGACAAGGAACATGGAAAAGGAACATGGACAAGGAACATGGAAAAGGAACATGGACAAGGAACATGGAAAAGGAACATGGACAAGGAACATGGACAAGGAACATGGAAAAGGAACATGGACAAGGAACATGGAAAAGGAACATGGACAAGGAACATGGACAAGGAACATGGACAAGGAACATGGAAAAGGAACATGGACAAGGAACATGGAAAAGGAACATGGACAAGGAACATGGACAAGGAACATGGAAAAGGAACATGGACAAGGAACATGGAAAAGGAACATGGACAAGGAACATGGACAAGGAACATGGAAAAGGAACATGGACAAGGAACATGGACAAGGAACATGGAAAAGGAACATGGACAAGGAACATGGAAAAGGAACATGGACAAGGAACATGGAAAAGGAACATGGACAAGGAACATGGACAAGGAACATGGAAAAGGAACATGGACAAGGAACATGGAAAAGGAACATGGACAAGGAACATGGAAAAGGAACATGGACAAGGAACATGGAAAAGGAACATGGACAAGGAACATGGAAAAGGAACATGGACAAGGAACATGGACAAGGAACATGGAAAAGGAACATGGAAAAGGAACATGGAAAAGGAACATGGACAAGGAACATGGAAAAGGAACATGGACAAGGAACATGGAAAAGGAACATGGACAAGGAACATGGACAAGGAACATGGAAAAGGAACATGGACAAGGAACATGGAAAAGGAACATGGACAAGGAACATGGACAAGGAACATGGACAAGGAACATGGAAAAGGAACATGGACAAGGAACATGGAAAAGGAACATGGACAAGGAACATGGACAAGGAACATGGAAAAGGAACATGGACAAGGAACATGGACAAGGAACATGGACAAGGAACATGGACAAGGAACATGGAAAAGGAACATGGACAAGGAACATGGAAAAGGAACATGGACAAGGAACATGGACAAGGAACATGGAAAAGGAACATGGACAAGGAACATGGAAAAGGAACATGGACAAGGAACATGGAAAAGGAACATGGACAAGGAACATGGAAAAGGAACATGGACAAGGAACATGGAAAAGGAACATGGACAAGGAACATGGACAAGGAACATGGAAAAGGAACATGGACAAGGAACATGGAAAAGGAACATGGACAAGGAACATGGAAAAGGAACATGGACAAGGAACATGGAAAAGGAACATGGAAAAGGAACATGGAAAAGGAACATGGACAAGGAACATGGAAAAGGAACATGGACAAGGAACATGGAAAAGGAACATGGACAAGGAACATGGAAAAGGAACATGGACAAGGAACATGGAAAAGGAACATGGACAAGGAACATGGACAAGGAACATGGAAAAGGAACATGGACAAGGAACATGGAAAAGGAACATGGACAAGGAACATGGAAAAGGAACATGGACAAGGAACATGGACAAGGAACATGGAAAAGGAACATGGAAAAGGAACATGGAAAAGGAACATGGACAAGGAACATGGAAAAGGAACATGGACAAGGAACATGGACAAGGAACATGGACAAGGAACATGGAAAAGGAACATGGACAAGGAACATGGAAAAGGAACATGGACAAGGAACATGGACAAGGAACATGGACAAGGAACATGGACAAGGAACATGGACAAGGAACATGGAAAAGGAACATGGAAAAGGAACATGGACAAGGAACATGGAAAAGGAACATGGAAAAGGAACATGGACAAGGAACATGGACAAGGAACATGGAAAAGGAACATGGACAAGGAACATGGACAAGGAACATGGACAAGGAACATGGACAAGGAACATGGACAAGGAACATGGACAAGGAACATGGACAAGGAACATGGAAAAGGAACATGGACAAGGAACATGGAAAAGGAACATGGACAAGGAACATGGACAAGGAACATGGACAAGGAACATGGAAAAGGAACATGGACAAGGAACATGGACAAGGAACATGGACAAGGAACATGGACAAGGAACATGGACAAGGAACATGGAAAAGGAACATGGACAAGGAACATGGAAAAGGAACATGGACAAGGAACATGGACAAGGAACATGGAAAAGGAACATGGAAAAGGAACATGGACAAGGAACATGGAAAAGGAACATGGAAAAGGAACATGGACAAGGAACATGGACAAGGAACATGGAAAAGGAACATGGACAAGGAACATGG